AGTTTTTTTCCTTTTTAATATAAACAAGCCAGTTTCGTGGGCTAGTCCTGTACCATCCCCACCCCACCCTCAAGTATGAGGATTGGTTGAATTTTTTGTCATCCATAACGTACGCTGTGTACCTATCGATGAGACTCTTTTTGAATTTCAAGGACTAAAACCTTTTCTCCATGGATTCTCTATGAATTATTATGAGTTTACATTTCGTGATGTACATCTTTGTTTATATTCAATTGTATTTCAGAAAGTGTTGGCCGAAAAGTGTATTTTTTAAAATTGCCTAATCATGTATCTTCACGTGACACAGTGCTAAAAATGATATAAACAATGATGTATGTGTAACACGATTGAGTGTTTGTTTGATACAGATTTTAAATCAATTAAAATCAATTTGTTGACCGTTATTTCACTATTTCAATCGTCATTTTTTATTTCTTCCTTCACAGATAGAATCCTTTATCTCTAACGATCAAAAAATTAATTATCAAAATCTCTACCAAACTATCATTGAGTCTCTATAGCCGTGATACTTGAAAGTATAAAGAATATTAGACCCTTTGAATGAAAAAATTTAGAGACCGAAATTCCTTGTGAATATTTACGTGATATGTACATGAGCACCTTTCTAAATAACAATTATTGAAATTATTCATCTTCCCTAATCGTATTGTGTTGCTCAACTCTTTCTATTTCACCATCAACTTCAGAATAACCAAATTATAAATTTTTCGAACAGTCCTTTTTATGTCATCTGAATAGACAAGATGACATCTTTTCGCATTAGTGAAGTTCCTCTATTCTTTTTACTATGAGGCTGTTTGGAAGTGATTTTGAAAATTGATTTTTCGACCGTTAGAAGAAAGGTGTAGTCCACCCGTGAGAGAAGAAGTCAAATATGACGACTGAAATAATGAAATAACGATTAAAAAATTAATTTTTTGAGTAAAAAATGGGGCCCAAACAGGCCCCATGTCTCGCAAAATAGGCAAAATCATACTTCCATAATTTTCTTTAAATTTGCTAAGAAAAATGGCGGGGATTCTTGGCGCCATTTTTCCCAATCCCGCATTCTTTGGGAACTTTCATCTATTTTCTTCTACTTATCCCTCTTCCAAATCGTTTAAGCCCTTATCGATTTGCAACTACGCACGCAGGCCACATAAAAAAATCTGTCCTTTTACCTTAGAAATGGCTCAAACAGTGGCAAATCATAACCCTGAAATCAAAGAACCAAACCCCAAAATCCCAAAACTCCAACAAAACGGCGATCCTGAAGCACCCCATGAAATCACTTCCTTTTTACGCGTCAAAAAGCTCTCAGAAAAGGCTGTTTTGCCCTCGAGGGCCTCACCTCTCTCCGCAGGCTATGATTTGTCCAGGTAAATAAAATTATCCACAACCCATAAGTTTGGGGTAGCAAATAATACAGATTCCGATTCTTGTTGGTTCCAAAAGAAAAAAAGGTTCTGATTTCTGATGGGTCTTGATTATACAGTGCAATTGAGACTAAAGTTCCAGCCAGAGGCAAGGCTTTGATTCCCACGGATCTTAGCATTGCCATACCAGAAGGAACTTATGCTCGTATTGGTAATTTCCCACTGTACTTGTACACATGATTCCCGTTATATCCCTTCATCTGTATTGATGTATTTTCCCTTTTGTTATGTAGCGCCACGATCGGGGTTGGCATGGAAGCATTCCATTGATGTAGGAGCGGGAGTGATAGATGCAGACTATAGGGGTCCAATTGGGGTCATTTTATTCAACCACTCCGATGTGGATTTTGAAGTGAAGGCCGGTGACAGAATTGCACAACTTATTATTGAGAAAATCTTAACTCCTGAGGTCACAGAGGTTGATGATCTTGATTCAACTATTCGGGGTTCGGGTGGTTTTGGATCTACTGGTGTTTAATTTTGCTATATCTTGGGAATTCTATGTTGTTACTATCATTTCATTAGTACTATGATAAATTTCAGATACTAGCCAAGAGCATCTTATATCAAACCTTGATCTATAAAAGAATTGTTTATTTCAAAATTTTATCAAATTCATGCATAATTTTCAAGTTTCAAACACAGATTTCACCTCCAAATTCAACAAAATCAATTTATAAGGTTTTTTTCGATGTCAACAATGGATCCACTAGAACTAGGGCTCGGTTATGCCTAGAGATGTCAATCTAGCTTGCCCTCTAAAAAGTTAGAGCTGGCTTGAGCCAAGCTTAGCAGGCTAAAATGGCTCATGTCATGGCCTGTAGTTGCCTACTTTAGGCAAGCCTGCCTCAAAGTTGTTGTAGGCAGCAGCAACCCGCCTTGAGCTCTCAGGTAACTGCTGCTGCCTCAGTGTCCTGCTAGCAGCTAGGAGGCAGCTAGCAATTGCATACCATGAAAGAAAAAAAATCAAGTTGCTTGATAAGGCTTGAACCTAAAGCCCGATCAAGCCTTGATTTTTCGTCCAAGCTTTAGCTCGGGCCAAAAAAGCTCTAGTTGTGTTGTTAATTTTATATTTCGCAAGTGTATATATCGTAACAATCGTCGTTCGAACAAGAATTATACTTTAATATTTAATCTAATGTTTTTAACTCCTATTTGATGAAACAAAGAAAGAATTATATGTTGTGATTTTTAATTTAACTATTTGAAAATATGTAGATGCAAACAAAGATTGATTTAAATTTCAAATATAGAATGGATGTTAGGGCAAAATAATTTTATCTATTAGTCACTTTTAAGTCAAAATTGAATGTAGTGTTCGATCAAATTCTTCTATTATATTTAATTTACCATTCTCGATTTTTCATTGAGTTTATTTAACTAATTTAATTCAATATTTTTATGTGAATCAATCTTAGTTAAACGAAATATTGTTTCTAAGAATTCATATATGATCACAATATTTAGTATAAGTATCTTTACACGTTATATTGATTTACTGGATTTTACTATATGGTTTAAATCTTAAACTCACCTCTTGATTCGTAAAAGATTCACAAATCATCAAATTAGTGATAAAGTAATTAAATGCATTAAACTTATAGCAAAATTAATACATGAAAGATAAAAGAACAAGAATCTTGAATAAAAGACAAAGAGTTTCATTAGATGACATTGTTTGCTCTAATATTAAATTTAGTTATTCATGATAATGAAAAAAAAAACAAATAACAACTATGGATTACATCATTGGGTTTTAAATTGAGATGTAGAGAAATTGAGGAATCTTGCTCCAGGTTTCTCTTGTCCTTCCAAATTTTGACCCCTTTGAATTGTTTTTTTCTCCTATTCAATTTGCTCTTTCATTCTCTAGTTTTATTCTCTTTTTCTCAGTGTGTGGAACCCCCTTCAAAAGTGTCAAAAACTTGTATTTATAGTTGCTCTCTCGTTTGTGTTAAAAGTAGAGTTTTTATGAAGTTCAAAATAAGTCAATGACACACCCTAGATGTACCCAGGCGGCGCCTCGGCTCCATAGAATGCCGTTGTAGCGTCGCGGCACCACCATTCGAGTGAATATCATACTACACTCTCTTTAGTATTTTTATAACTTTCTCTCCCATTATCCGATTGTGATGATTTAAGTTGGATTCCAAAGATAACTCAAAGGGCTACAATATCATTAGAAGTAGCTCTTTTTCAATTCGAATATTTACTGGGCCAAAAATGGGTCTCAATCTCTGGCTGAAAACTTGGAACATCCTTGTGCTGTTGAAAATTGATTTGTGAAAATATTTTGGTCATATTTCATTCCTTTTGACTTTTAATTTCATCTAATTGATTCACGGCATTCTCAAATCTTTATCATGAGGTTCGACACAACTTTTGAATATTTACACTTTAGTTCCCAAAACTTTGGATCTTATCTCCCTTTTTTCCAATTTTCACTTCTTTCTTTCAATTCCACTTTCATTCATCGAGTTTCACATAATAAATAAAATATAAAATAAATTAGACTATAATTGTTCCAAAAAACAATTAAATGTCTATATTTTTTTTTGTCCAAATAAGTGTATAAGATACACTTATCGAGTTACTCTCGAGCCGCAAACTTCAGCTCGCAAGCTTGTTCTGCCCGGTTCATCTACAACCCTAGTTATGCCCATATTTCACACACCAAAATATCTCGAACCGCCAAACACGATGTTCCCCACTTGAAAAGGATCGACCCTTGGAACCATGAAGGAGACGAGAAACATATATAAAGAATGATGAAAAGTCATCAAGAACAAGCAGTAGGCAGTAACTAGGAAGAAGATAATTTCTCCTTTATATAAGAGGAGCCACAACCGTGGATCTCATCAAAATCCAACGGTTACAAACTCTCCTCACAGTGGTCACGAGTAACACTTATTAAACTGTTAATCTTCCAAATGACACTTTATATTTTGGACTGTCTCAACAAGTAATTTTGATCCAAAATGTTTGAGCCTTTAGTTCTTCAATTAATGAAGCCCGACTATTGTTACATCATCGTCTCAAGGTTGTTTGGCAACACAAAAGCCCAAACTCACTTATTAAAATTAGCCAAACATGTTTTTGTGAAGCCATCACAGAGCAACACGGTAAATACAATCAGTAATGTTTTGTTGTCGATTTTATCCTGCAAGTGAATGGATCGTAACAAGTAGTAAAGCGAACCATTTGAGTCGAATTATCGTTCCCACAAAGACTATACTTTAATACTCAGTTTATTATTTCTAACTTCTATTTGATGAAAATAAACGAAAACGATGATTAAAAGTCTTTTTTATTCTAGCTACTTAAAAGTTCGTGAGTGTAACAAAAAATGAGTGAGAATTCAAATAATAAATGAGTATTAGGGTGGAACAACTTCATCTATTAGTCACATTTACTTCTAATATCGAAATTTATAAAATCTAAAGTAGTGTTCGGTCAAATTCTTCTACAATATTCAATTTACTCCTCTCGAGTTCTCATTGAGTCTATTTAAATAATTTAATTCCATATCTCTATGCGAATCAACATTATTTAAATGAAATAATAGTTCTAAGAATTCATATAGAACCGCAGCAATTAATATATGTATCTCTATACGTTATATTAATTTACCGAATTTTAATATATGATCTAAACAAGAATCCGTATCTCTACGCAATTATTGTTCACGAAATCATTGAACCGGAAAATTCAAAGCATTAAGAACAGGATTAAAATCTACACGTGTTATTATAACGAACAAAAATCTCAAATAAAAGAAATAAATGTTCCCAAATCAGTTACATTGTTTGTCCCTAAAATCAGATTAGCTACTCATAGTAATCAAAGAAAAAAACAAGAAGTTATTATGGAAGACATAATCGGGTTTTGAATAAGAATGTAGAATAAAAAATCAATCTTGCACCAAGATCTACTTCCCCTTCCAATTTATGCTTCAACACTTGAATTTCTTGTTATTTTGTTCTCTTGAATTCTTCTCTTTTGATTCTCCAATTATGTTATCTTGTCTCTCAATGTGTGAAGAATCTCTTCAAAAGTGTGAGAAAGATGTATTTATATGTGCCTCCTCCGTTTGTGTAGAAAGTAGGGTTTTTATGAATTTCAAAAGTGTCCAAAAATGCCCCCCTAGACAATCTCGGCTCAGCACCTAAGCACCGTGAAGAAATTCAGGTAGCGCCTAAGTGCTGAATTTTGGGAAAAAAATCAGAAACGTAGTGCTTGGGCACTACGTGATAGCGACTGAGCGCTGTCGTCAATTTGATCGCATTGCACAACTTTTAGTCTTTTCATCATAACTTTTTCTCCCGATATCCGATCGAGGCTATTCAAGATGCACTGGAAAGCTAACTCAAAGGGCTACAACTTTACTTCGAATACCATTTTCAAGTTCGATCATTTGTTATGTCAAAAGTGAGTCTCAATATGAGTCTAAAAATGATGCATATATTTTTTCGGTTGGAACTTGATGTGTGATCATAAGTTGATTATATTTCATCCCTTTGATGTCTTTCTTTATCCAATTGACTCTAAGAACTCTTGAATCTTCATCGTGAGGTCCGACACAACTTTTGAGTGTTTGTACTTTAGTTCCCGAATTTTGGATCTCTTACAACTTAGCCAATTTTCTCTAATTGTGGCAACTTTTGCTTATTTCCTTCAATTTCTTGTACTGTCATTGAATTTTACATATTCAACATGAAATGCAATAATTTAGACCATAATTCATTTGAGAAACAAATAAATATCATCGTTTTAAAGTCTTGAATAAGTGTATAAAATAAACATATCACGTTTCTTCAAGACTTACAAGTCAATTTATTTTATTGTTTGGACTTTATCAGTTTGGTTCCAAGAAGAGGAAAAGGAAAAAAAATCGTCTGCAGTATCGTCAATTTGATAAGATTAGGTGATTGACTAAACAATAAATAATTGACTAATCCAAAACCATAAAGATCAAATTACTTGTATGACTAACCCAAAACAAACGAAGATCAATTTACTTGTATCCCAATTCCACACAACACAATAAACTCTATATTGAGCATGGAGAAACAGCCACCTTGGGAGCCACAGATATGTGCCCCAGATGACCTTTCTAAGGCCGCAGCCACCCTCAAGAACGACATCCCTTTTCTGAATGTAAGAAGGCTATCAGATAAAGCCACTTTGCCTAAAAGAATGTTTCCTTATGCTGCAGGCTATGATCTTTTCAGGTTCGCGTTTCTTGTATGCATCCAACTGGTAAACTCATATGAATTAAGCTCATTGTACAGGTGAAATATACATCGATTTTTACAAATGATGAGGTGATAACACTGGATTGATTGGTTTAAAATTTTTTGTCGAATATCCAATGAAATTGTGCTAGTCGACAATCTGTCAAATTGTGATGCAAAAATTCATGTACATGTAACGTGATTGAGCTAATATATAGTTTCTCTAAGTCTGTATTTTACATTTATATGTAGTGCAATAGACATTAAAGTGCCAGCCCGAGGAAAAGCAAAGGTTCCTACCGATTTGATCATAGACATACCTCAAGGAGCTTATGGCCGCATAGGTATATACACCTCTGATTTATTTTTACCCATTTTCTTTTCTTAAGCTTGAGATGAAAATTTGTTTTGTAGCGGGAAGATCAGGATTAGCTTGGGAGCATTCTATTGATGTGGGAGGAGGTGTGCTGGATGCTGATAAGAACCCGGTTTTTGTTATCTTGTATAACCATTCCAATGTAGATTTCGAAGTAAAGGTTGGAGACGGGATAGCACAGATGGTCATTGAGCTCAATGCGACACCTGAAATCTGGGAAATTCACCAATAAGTCGAGCAGCATACATATCATCCCTTCATGATTTGGTTTTGTCTTAGCCATTTCCAATTGTTGTTCCCCTCCCAAGGACAGGTTCTTATGCATTACTCACATGTCGACCATTGGAAACACCACTTCCCATCTGAACGTTTTCTTGAGTTTTATTTGACAAAGATAGTTCGTGTGGTTATTATGATCGAATACTTTGTAAGGAAACTGGTGTTATATTTTCTTTTCAATGTGATTCTGGACCATATAGTAAGAAAGCTATTAGAAAATTACGAACTTGCCTACTTCAAGGTTCAAGCATGGCTACGCCTTTTGATGGCCAAAACTAAACTAATACATTATGTACGGACCCATTAGCAAGAGTAGAAATTGTGGCTGTTACACCTTTTGAACAGCACTACTGATAAATATCGTTACTCTGCTAAGAACCATCATGAATTGCAATAACACAAAAGAGCAAATCAATATTTTGAGATGGAGAAAACTGGCAGTTTGATCAACAAGGATCATAAATACTAGCCTCTAGTAACATTAACAAGTGGGGGGGCTCAAAACCAAAAGGTCTATGTCTGCAACTTATACATCTAAATTACATATGGAATTGGTGTTATGCACCAAGGTATTTATTTCTCAGGAAATCCACAGTTTACAGATTATCTGCTAGTTTCTGTTTCAAGTATGTCAATTATTGAGGAAATGGTCAAATGTTAAGATGATGTACTAGAGGATGAAAGCATAAGAAATGAAAGGAAAGTCGTCCGGATGTGAGGTAATTCTGCAAAAAGACTACAAAACGGGTATATTCACGATAGAGAGAGCACGAAGACTATGAACTCATCCAACTTGTGAGTTGATCAAAATTACATCTTTGGTGGAACCTCAGTCTTCCTTGGGGACATCAGCACTTTCCTGCCAAGAATAATGAATTTGTGTAAGAATTGATATAAACTTTGAAACGGAACAAATATCATCTCTGTAACAGTTGACGAAACTTAATTAAACCTTTAAGTCGCCCTCTGTCATAATAAGTGATCTACATTGCGCAATCATAAAAGGGAAAATTTTCAAGTAATCCCAGGGTATGGAGTACTCAATATTCACGACCACTATTTAATTGACACGTGTATCGAATAACTGGGACTCCACAAGAAAATTATATTAGTCCCAAAATCATTTAGTTATCTGTATTTTTACAATCGACCTTTTAAATGAGTAATAAATCAATCCATTGATTAAGCCCACTCATCCTATATCTTCCACGGTCTACCTCATGACTTTGACATAGAATGGTCCATGCTATAGAAGAAAGAAATTGTCAACCTTTCTCCGTCCTTCCTTTTAAACTTCACTTGTTCTGTTAACCATCTTTTTAGATAATATTATTTAACAACTTTAGAAATGTATTACAGATTAGACAAAATATTTTCTGAACAGGCCTTTCTGATTCAAACATAACCTCCTCAGGTGACAGAATATGGCACAATTCAAAGTCCCAATCCCAATGTATCAATTAATAAATTTGTTTTAAACTATGAAATGATGCCACAACTCACTTTTCTCCTCTTTGCAAGTAAATTTCAACGGTCAGTTATATTTTTACGGATATATAAATTGTGCACCTCACTTTCAATAAGGATTTAAAGCAGATAAAAGCATGTCCATTGAAAGAGGCTAACTTCCATACCTGTAGATATCTTGTCAACATTGTTGTAGTGCTGAAATTGAAGCCTTCAACTGGTTCACCTTTCTTACGAGATGCATGAAGCTGCTTTCTAACTTGAGTAGCCAGTGACTACAATTTATTTATATTTACAGATCAAAAAAATCATTCAGATATGACAAATCAACATCGCATAGCAAAAATAATGAAAAATTGAAGAAATGCAAAAACTATTGCCACTAGATATACCTTCCCCAATTCCACACCCCACTGATCAAAGGAATTGATACCCCATACAAAGCCTTCCACGGCAATTCTGTGTTCATAAATTGCCAGTAACTGAAAACATAATATAAAATTTGAAGATTAGGCACACATATACAGACATTCCAATTTTTCAGCAAGATTACATTATTATTGCAGTGTAATACCAAGACATAGGGAAAACCCGAAATACCATAAATAATCCATACTAACAAGAAAATCTGAGAAGAAAAAAATATAAGGTGTCGAGGATATTATGTTATTTCAAACCTTCATCATTACAGGATTTAATAGAACCCAGTTTGAAACATGCAACTGTTTACATTAGGGCCTGTTTGGTTGGCCATGAATTCCATGGACAGTGGAAATTGATCTTTTACATTGTTTGATGTCACTTTTTTTTACGATGGAAATGGTTTTCCAAGTCCCCCCCCCCCCCCCCCCCCCCCCCCCCCATCATGGAAATGGTTTTCCAAGTTCCCCCAACGTGCCATCTTTCCTTCTTTTTAAGGAATTCCAATTCTTATAGGTTTGGTCAGAACTGGAATTCCAGGCAACTCTTTTTTTTTTTTTTTTAGCAATGAGAACAAATTCTATGCCTAATTGTAAAAAAATATTTTCCTTTAATTGACAATCTCCATGTAAAACAAAGTCAAACAAACACTTAAAGTTAGATAATTTTCTTGGCTTTTTTTTTTGCAATGGAAACAAATTTTATCCCCAATATTAGTAAATTTTATCCCTTTAATTGATAATTTTCATATAAAACAAAGTCAAACGAACACCAAAAAATACTTTTATTTTAACATTTTTCATGTGGAAATATGGAAAATTATACAATCAAACATAATAATTTATAATTTCCAGGAAAACAATTTTTAGGCAATTCAATTCCCTGAAATTCGTTTTCTTTCCACCCAAATTTCATCTTTGCAATCAAACGGACCCTTAATTTCACAAATTAAAACCTATAGACCACTTTGATAGACTTGAAACAAGCAGAGTGTAATTTGCAGAAGAAAAACTAAATAACAAACCTGTCCAATGTTGTAAGCATTCAATGAAGGAAGTAGAAGGTTGAAAGAAGGTCGATTTCCAGAGAAAGTCTGCAACAGGGAGTCCAATTGTGAGTCTAAACATCAAACCGTAGCAAAATGCTACGGCCTAAAAAAAACACTTCAACAAACCACCTTGTGTGGAATAAGAGGTCGAGGAACACTTTCTTTTAGCAGCTGTCCTGCAGTCTGGAAGAAAATGAATTACAATTAGAATAACAATACTGAGAACCTTCAATAATATGAGGATGCAACAGAAAGAAAGAAGATACATGAATATGCGGAAAAATAAATAAATAAATAAATGACAACATAACTTCAGAAGTGTGGCATACTTCATTTCCAATTTATAGCTGCACAAGAACTATGAAGAAATTGAATTTTGGATAGATATATCCCAGACAAGTGATCTGACAAATACCACCCAAAAAATTCCTACCTTTCCATAAGCAAGGGCATCTGGCTGTGCAAAGAAGTTTGACATTAGTTCATCATGGTTGCTAACCATTTCACCTGTAAAAGGAAGTTGCCAAAATGTTACCGACCGTCATCTTCATGTCGAAAACACGAGTTTTTGCTAAGCAAGGAGATACATGAAAAGAAATTAATACCTTCCAGGTAAACAGGTAGCTGACTCTTAACCACACCAATAAAATCACAAGGTATGACACGACCCTGAAAGTCCAGCAGACAGACAAGGTTTCAGAAGAAAAGTTCATGATTCATTTTCATGAAGATGCATGGCAATAATAGCTTCACGAGATTCTGTAATAAGTATAGGCACCCCAAATTATGAAATATCTGTAATGGAGACCAACAAATAAAATCTCTTGGAACATTTCTAGTCATGTTACGTGTCCTAAGTAGCCTAATTCAACTGTAGTTAGTCAAAGCACATTTGCTCAGATGTTAAAAGTTAAGTTAGGAATTTGCATAACTATTTAACACCAGCAAAAGTTATGCCCATGATAAATTACATGTTAAAAATCAATAAGAAAATTATTATCAAGGGAGAAGAGGTTTAACAAGAGGGACATAAAGCGTGAGAGATATCATTACTTAAATGCATTATTAAACAGTAAATACAAAAGTTGGAATTTAAATCAGGATTTGACTACATAGAACAGTTTCCATTGTACTTCAATTAGAGCACATTAAGATCCGATACTCATAACATACTTCTAGTTCTTGGACACTTCTGATATCCAGAATTTGGTGCTCTCTACCCATGCAGTATATTTCAGAAAAAGTTATTAGTTACATTTACAAACTATGTCCAGCTAAAGGCACTAAAATTTTCATAGCCTCAGTCTACAAACAGTACTTCACTTCAACAGGCAAAATGTTCACAGTAAACAAGCACATGTAGAAGGGGATGGTCCCCAAATTTGGTACATGTAGTTCCAGGCAGAAAAAGGATCAGAAAACATTGGAATGACTTGACTACACAATAAGCCAGAAGTTTTGTAAGCCTTGAACAGCATCTCTCTCCCTTGTGTTTTCCAACCTCCTTTATTTTCCAGGTGGATAGGTGAAACAATACATAATGACAAATACAGAAGCATGAAGCACGAAACTTCCCCTTTCTGCTCAAGCTGAAGTTACGCATGCATAAATGGCTTCTGCGATTAAACGTCATTTACCTGGTGAATTAATTGGTAAAAGCTGTGCTGGCCATTTGTTCCTGGTTCGCCAAAATCAATTTCACCAGTCTCATAGGGAAGAGGCACACCATTGATTGATACCCCTTTTCCATTGCTCTCCATACTAACCTGAATTAAACAATATTAGGAAGGCATAAGCATCCTACCAAAAAAGCATCCAAAAAGATGTGCAAGCAACATTATTTGAAAAACAAGAGAGAGAAACTGTCATGGTAAACATGCCTGCTGAATATGGGGTGCGAATTTCTCCAGTGCTTGAGAATAAGGTAAAATGGCCTGATATTAAGTGAGGACTCATTGATATGGCTCAGCCAGTAAATAGTTCAACGGAGGAACCTCAAAAGAGGGAAATTCAAACAGAATTCACAATATATTAAACTTACTCTTGCAGGAAATCCGAGGAATGATACGTTCCAAACACTCAACAAACCTAATAGCACCTGAAGGAATAATTTTATGCACGTGACGCACGTCAGTGGTAAAATGAGTCACCCACAAAGAGAAGTCCAACACAGACTATGCGGTGAAACATTTTATAGATGAAAATGAAAACATGAAATCCAGGATTGACAAGATCCACAAGATCATAAAACGAACTAAAAAGACAAAAAATAAAGGAAGATAAAAGAAACCAGGTATGTATTTTGGCAACATATGGAGACCAAAAGATATAGAGAATACTCTCAGGTGATATCTCTCAGCTTAGATGTTACATAACTAGATCCCCAACAGAAGGCTATTCAATTGCATATACAATAAGTGGAGTAGTAAAGCAGCAAGATGAAAGGTATATACAGGTAAATTCTTTGCAAAAGGTGCAGAATAGAAGTGTTGATCAATACTTGAAGCTCCCTTTAAGAACCTTCATGCAAAGGGAAATAAATGAAACATGTCAGTAGCCGTAGGTCAGAACCAATGAAAACAAAATACACAAAATCAAGGTCATTAAAAAATGTAACCGTGCATATCTGAACATTGCTATAGGAAAACAACCTAAAAGCATCCCAAAAATGTAAACAGCTCTAGTAACCGAGCTCACGCAATTCTGAGTATGTTCAGTAAAACCTCTTGTAGATTATAAGTTGTGGGTCCTATGAAAATTGTGGATAATTAGTGGATAGTAGTTGTGGGCGCAACAACATGTATAGATAAAAAGTAACTTAAGCTTTGCCAAACATAAACTTTGTTTTAATATTAAGCCCACAAAGCATTTTTCTTTTTAAATACTAAGCTCCTATATTATTGTGAATAAAGCTTCGTTTATTATTGTTCTACCTAATGTTAGTAGAGTTATCTTTGTAAAGTAAAAATATAATGTCTAAGGGTAACTCACTCAAATCATTAGCATTGTCAGGACCTAAAATCAACTGTGAAATCCGTCTTGATCTTAATGTCACTCAACACTGAATTATCCAGACCATTAAGCACTTTTTAAACAAATAATCACATCAAACGAAATTTGACTCTATGCAAAACTGTACTAAAATATCTAGCATGTCAAGTCAAAAAGTTTTGCTCATTGAATCCGTAAAATCCTAGGTAAATTAGTGATTAAACAAAGCAAAGAGTAAGCTACTGTACTTCTCCACGACTGAAAATCCATATTGCAGAGAAAGAGGTAGTACTCCAACAGCGCTGCAAACTGCACAGCGATTTAGAGATCAATTATGAATCACTCTAGAGCAGGAATTACCCAAAAAACCTAATTACTTACCACTATAGCGGCCTCCCACCCAGTCCCAGAATGCAAAAGCATTATTTGGATCGATGCCAAACTTCTCTACAAGCTGCATTAAAAATGAAATGATAAATAAGTTGATGAATTTAAGAGGTGGTACACTAATTAGGTGAAGAGAAATTCCAATTTATTTAATCTACTCTATATATTTTTTGTGCATGTGAGTGTGAACGCATACTTTGTAACAACTACTATTACCCATCATGTTTGAAAATACAGAATTCAAACTCATCTTGGCAAGTTAATGCGTACTTTGGGATGTCATAACCAAGTAATATAGTAAAATCTTAGATTTAACATCTGAATCAAATGATTAAAGTAGTAATAAATATGAAAGCGAAAATAATGCCATAACTTATTTAATGTGGCATTTGGCATCCTGCTTGTTATTTCAGGTGTATAGTAAACTAATAATGCAAATAGAGAAAGATATTTAGCCCTCGTTTGAGCTCCATTATCCCAAAACTCATTTTTCTCCAAATTCATTTTCAACAAGACATTCTTTCAATAAAATATTTTGCACGTAACTCCAAAAGTACTTTTCACTACCTTTTAATCACACATTCTCCAAAAAATCACTATTATAAAACTCAGTTTAACATAAAAATGGGGCTCAAATAAGGGATTAGAAAACAAGTTATTCTATACTTCAATCCTTTTCTTGTCCTCGTGAAGGCTGAAGCCAAGGAAAAGGAAAAACAATTTGAGTTTTCACACTTTCCCGTGCCTTCTAAAGTGAATATCTGAATAGGTACACCAGCAGAACCACTAAACCTAGTCTCAAACCCTCATCTGCAATTCAACGTCTTTATAAGAAAGGAAATGGTGTTTATTTTTGTTTCTGTATTCCTGATTTATCCACTAGGTCAATCTGGTTGGTGCTGAAAGCATCTATGTAGTAAGCCCACCTACAGAGCAATATGTGACTGTTACTTGTTCAAAGAACGAGTCTGGATTACATCTAAAGGTAGTAAAAGTTTGCGGTTACTCGTTTGATGAAATGGCAAGAAGACAAGTAGCTGAGCTGGTTCCAACCAAAACACCACCCTCACCATTCACCTTATCCCCCCTCCATACAACTTAACAATACATTATTCCAGACGATATTTGAAAATATTTGGTAACTTCATGACCTTACAATTGATTATGGGAATAAACATTTGTGAAACCTAGCAGGCTATGAACAAGTCATTTGTCAGTTTTCAGGGAAAAGCCTGCACTATTTAATTGATAAGCGTATTAAATAGTTGGGACTCATTGTTTAACTCGGACCAATAATAATCATGTCAATAGTGACAGGAAGTACATAGTTCCATATTCCACTTTTCAGATATACTTGCAAATGGACAGTTTCCCAGTCGAATCCACGAGGGAACCAACTTTCCACTTTACTCAGACCACAGACAACTTTCTCTGAGTTGCCAAATTTTTTATAAATTCAACCAAGTTAACTGAGTTTTGAAACTATGATGTTAGTATCGAACCAAGGTTAAAGAAATATGAGTTCTTGAACACAAAAATGGGCAGCATAATAGAAAGCCTTTTAATTTAATATCAACAATCACATATACGGGACACTTCGTAAAAGTTAGATTGACACAAGAAATTATTAAACAATGAAAAGGGATAAGACAAGTGAGAGAAGATAATAACCACACCGTGAGATTAGTACTGATAGCAACCATATGCTTTGCCACTGCTTGAGGCCTAGAATTGTGTTAAGAGTGAGATATATGGACAAAATTAGGTAGATAAATGTAGATAAAATCTGAGAGGATCGGATTTCAAAAGGATCCCAAATTTGAAACTATCCTAGCAAGTAGCAAATAGCTATATCAAGTCATAAAACAGATAAACTTCTATGTGTAAATAGTAAATATATATTTTTTTTATAGGTAATCAGATAATTTTATTACTTAAAAGAGAATACACGGGGGGTGTACAATCACTTTAAGCCATTAAAGAACCACATGAAATTAGGCAACCCGTCTACAGGATTTTTTTCTTATCTGCTCTCTTGTCTTTGTTTGGTCTTCGAAACAGCGATTGTTCCTTTCTCTCCACACGCACCATACAATGCAACCTAGGATAAGGTGCCATGCTAGTTTGCTATCCTTATCACGAAATTTTCTCCGCCATGCCCGTATCACGTCCTCTATATGACGAGGCATCACCCAATCCATAGATTGAGAACCAAGTATACTATTCCAAATCCAACGTATACCATCACAATGAATGAACAAATGATCGATTGTCTCCCCATCCTTCTTGTACATATAACACCACTCAGTTACGTAGAAACCTTTATGTCGAAGATTATCCACCGTTGAGACCTGTCCCCTCACAACTGTCCATAATAAGAATGCCACCAGAAGAGGCAATTTACACTGCCACACCAACTTCCAGGGGAATGAATTATTCACACATCTCATGAGGGAACCAAAGTACGAGCGAATTGAAAAAATGCCATCCCGTGCTGTCCTCTACCTGATGCAATCCCTCTCTCCTACCCGAATTTGTGCCTCATGTAGAAAGGTCATAAACAACGAATAATCTTCCAATTCCCAATCCTGTAGACCCCTTCCAAAAGTAATATTTCAGCTATAGCTCCCATTATGAATGTCTAAGAGATCACTCACCATAGCAGAGGGCACTGAGGCAATGCGGTGCAAGGAAGGAAATCCCTCCTTCAGCGGTTGATCTCCACACCAACAATCATCCCAAAATCTAATCTCATTACCATTTTCGACCACAAATTTCAGTTTATCCAAAAAAGCACTCCACCCTGTCGGATATACCTCCACAAACTCACCCCATAAGAACCACGATCCTCAAATGTACACCATCCCCCCTCCGTCACACCATACTTCGCCCCAATTATTTCTCTCCAGAAGCTTTCTCTCTCTACTCCAAATTGGCGCAACCACTGGCCTAATAAGGCCTTATTGAACAACACAAAGCTCCTCACCCGAAGACCCCCCATCCCCATTGGCAAATAGACAACTCCCCAATTGACCAAATGGACTATCCTCTCCTCCCCCAACCCTACCCACAGAAATTCTCTTTGAAGTCTCTCTAATCTCTTTACCACTGCAATTGGAATAGGGAACAATGACAAAAAGTAAGTAGGGAGATTGAAGAGAGTGAGTTTAATGAGTAAGTCTGCCTCCCTTAGAAAGATACATACGCTTTCATCCTACTTACCTTTTCTCCATCCTTTCCAAAATACCATTCCAGATATGGGTACTTTTAAATCGTGCTCCTAACGGGAGCCCTAGATATGACATCGGCAGCTGCGTAACCTTACAACCCAATATATCAGCTAGCTCCTCCACATTATCGACCTCCCCTACTAGAATAGCCTTAGACTTCCCCAAATTGATTTTCAAACCAGACACCATTTCAAAGCATAGGAGCAAATGGCGCAAGTTCCTGAATTGTTCAACAATCTGCATTGCATAAGATTAGCGTGTCATCTGCAAATAACAAATAGGACACCTGCAATTGGTCAACCATAAAACCCCTCATCAAACCCGCTCCTATGGCTCTTTTAATCATCCTACTTAAAGCATCCATCACAATGACAAATAACAATGGAGACAATGGATCCCTTGTCTCAAACCTCTACTACTCCGAAAATAATCCTCAGGTGTTCCGTTGACCAAAACTAAGAATGAAACAGTAGAAATATAGAATTGGATCCATTTACACCACTTATCCCCAAAGCCACAGCGCCTAAACATATACAACAGGAATCCCCAATTTACATGATCGTAAGCTTTCTGAATATCTAGCTTACATAGCATCCCTGGGACCCTTAGACGCATTCTCGAATCTATGCATTCATTCGCTATAAGCACAGAGTCCAAAATCTGGCGCCTTTTTACAAATGCATTCTGAAATTTGGACACTACTTTTCCCAGCACCTCCTTTAATCTGTTTGTTAGGACTTTCGCAATAATCTTATACACTCCACTGACAAGGTTAATGAGGCGAAAGTCTTTAATATCAGTCGCTCCCGGTTTCTTAGGGATGAGCACAATAAATGTAGCGTTAGAACTTCTCTGGAATCTACCACGTTTAAAAAAATAAGATAAAGCATTCACAATGTCCGATCGAACCACATCCCATCACGCCTTGTAGAATGAGAACGAGAAACTGTCCGGTCCCGGAGCCTTATCATCGTTCATGCTGAACACTACCTCCTTAATTTCATCCTCCCCAAATGGTCTCTTCATCCATCTGGCATCATCCTTCGTAATAGTAGAAAAGTGCAATCCCTCCAATTCTGACCTCCATTCAAATTGCTCCCGATAAAGGTTTTGATAGAAATTCACCAGTTGACTTCCAATTTCCTGTGATTCCTCATAGGTAACCCCCTCCACCTCCAAAATTGTGATGGAATTGTTCCTCCTATTATAATTGGCGACCCTGTGGAAGAACTTAGTGCATTTATCCCCCTCTTTCAACCAAGTAACTCTAGATTTTTGTCGCCAAGTAATCTCCTCCATCTCCACCAACCTCTCCATCTCTTCCTTTAATACTCTATGTCTGTCCTCCTCCCCAGCCAACCCTTGACTCTTCTCCCGCCTATCCAACTCCTCTAACTCCGACAGACACTGATTTTTACTACAGCTAACATTGCCCACAACTTCCTCATTCCATTTCTTTAAGTCCCCTTTCAGCGTCTTTAGCTTTTGATCCAATACAAAAAAGGGAGACCCACTGACTTCATAGGAAGTCCACTACTCCTGAAAGGTCTTCTTCTCAAACCTGAAAGGTCTTCTTCTACCACTCCTCCTCTTCCCCGATAACATAATAGGAAAATGATTCGAGAACACCCTCCCCAATCTTCTCTAAGTGACATCTGAATATTTGGACTCCCACTCCCCACAAATCAAGAACCTATCAATACGAGACAAGACGGGTCGGTCCCAATTAGATGACCAGGTAAAATCTCCCCCAATCATGGGTAAATCCACCAACAAATTCTCCCTAATAAAATTTGAGAACTCCTCCATTGCCCTAGTTAGTCTCCCACCACTCGACCTCTCCGAAGGAAATCGAATCACATTGAAATCACCCCCCAATACATGTTGGGAGATTCCACCAAGCCCTCATTCCAGCCAGTTCATTCCACAAGCCCACTCTACTGTCATCAGAATTATGCCCATACACTCTTGTGAACATCCACCAAAATCCATCCTCGCAATTTTTGAAAGAAATCGATATAGAGAACACCCCTATACCCACGTCCTTCATCTCAAGCACTCTAGTGTCCCACATCACCAACACGCCTCCTCATACCCCTGATCACCCCAAAAACTGATATCCTACATGATTCCCCCCCCCCCCCCCACGAATCACCGCCCTCGAGATAAACTCCATCTTAGTTTCTTGTAGGCACCATAGACTACTAATCACCGCCCTCGAGATAAACTCCATCTTAGTTTTTTGTAAGCATACAAGATTTGCCCCCATCCCCTTAGCAAATGTCGAACACCACGCCTTTTACCAACCTCATTGAGCCCCCTTACGTTTCAGCTAATGAGTTTTGGCATCATTATAGCACTCTGTAACCCCTCTCCATTGTTCCTTTCTTGGACTCGCCACCCTTACCAACATAGTTTACTAACCATTCGAGCCTCTTAAGATAGCGATCACCCTTTCTTCTCAATTTACTTCCATGTGTACTGATGTCTTGTCCCCTTTTAGCCTCCAGCTCCTCAAATAATTGTAACAGTCTATTTTCATACCCATCACATGACACGCCAACCAACTTACCGAGTTCCTAAATTTTTTGTAGAACCCAATTCGAAGGTGGGTGACCAACTTCTAACACATCAGCTTCTGAAGTTTCCTCTTCGTGATAGCCCTCTAGATGATCAAAAGACCGTTCTTTCTCTTCCACCACTTGTATAATGTCACTGTCGCTTTCTCCTTTCTTGGCACCATCTACCCACAACACCAAAACTTTTTCGGTCCCCATATCATTTTCTTCGTCCTCCTATTATAAATGTTCGTAATCCTTGATGTTGAATGTGTAGCGTTATTTTCTTTCACAACGTCCATTGTTATTGTCTCCAAGTTCACCATACTCAACTCCCCTTCCTTAGACAGCGGTTCCACCTCTCGTTCTATTGCAATCCCCGTGTCTTCTTCATTCCGGTTGAACCCCACTAAATCAACCCCGTCATCGTTTTTATAGTACCCCGCTTCCATCCTCTCCTGAGACTCACAATGTTCATCTCTTCCCTGATTTTCATGTTTTGTAATTGATGGTAGTTCCTCATAAGTCAATCCCGATACGTGTATTTCACCGGTTTGATCCTCATCCAACTCAACCCCACACTTTTGACAGCGTACCAATTTCATGGGATCCATTTCAGGCCCATTTCCAACTAACCTAAGTAATTCATCCAATGCTCCTTTCAACTCCTGGGCACGGGCCATTATTTCAGCCTTACTCAAACAAATATCATGACCTTCGTTATCAACAGCTTTACTTGTCCTTTCCTTTTGCTGTAGCATCTGTTGGTCGGCATGCTCCGAGATCTGTGAGTTTGCTGTAATTTTTGCATAAGTCATCCTTTATCTATTTCGTTCATTCACCATTTGTCGTTTGGCCTTATCCCTAGCAACAAATGAGTCAACAACTGCTTGAAACACCTGTGAGACCGATGTCCATCCCTCTCCATTTGCACCTTCTGGTATCATGACAACTCCTTTCCGACGCCTCTCCCCATATTGTGCAATCATCAAATATCTACCTCGACGGTTCAAACACCATTGTGCCAAGAAAGCTCTTAAAGACTCGTTGAATTTAAAGACACAGTCCTCCAGTTCACTTCTCATCCTCAATCTGTCTACCCTATTCACCATCCAAATAGCACTAGTAAGTATATTATTTCCATGAATAATGAGCATTATCCGTACATTCTAAGAGAGCCCACATAATCTATTCCTCGCTCCCCATCTACCTCACTGAAAAAGTTTCGGACTTGTCCCAAAGTTCAATGCACTTCTTTCAGCCAAAAGAACAAATAGTTAAGATTTTCAGACTTGGAACATGGTCGTTTGTTGTCATCTCACAGAAAATATTCCCTACCTCAAATACAAATTTTCAGGGCCATTCTATGGACAGTTTCAATAAAAAAACTGAATTGATAAATCCAAAGATCTTATTTTATAGCAAAAACATTGGCAGACCTAAAAACATATAAGAATTCCATGCAAATGTAGTCTACTATCTTATAAAAATTGAAGCTCAAAAGTTGTAGACAGAGTATTCTCATGTGTTAGATACTAGATGGCACAAAAAAGGAAATGATAAACATGAAATCAGACAACATAAAAACAGCATTAGGCCAAAAAAAAAAAAAAGAAGACAAGAAGTTCCTAAAAAACATATTTTCACATCAATAATACTATAATTATCTCCGCTTTCAACTATA